AAAAAAAAAAACACCGCCCCCCCCCTCAAAAAAAAACGCTCGTTTGCGCCCCCCCCCCCCCCCCCCCCCCCCCCCCTCGTTGCTTGGCGTCCTCCAGGTCGCCTAAAGAAGGAGCAGGCCCTCTCTAGGATCTCCGACGAGAGTTTGGACAAGATCCCCGAAGAGGAGGAGGAGAGCCCCGTGTTCAAGGAGCTGCCAGGGGCCAAGGGAACAGACGAGGCCGTGCTGCCGCTCACGGGGGGCAGCAGCGAGCGGAGCACCCGCGAGTCCAGCGGAGAGCTCTCCAACCTGGCTAATGGAGGCAACGTCCTGCCCAATGGCAGGGTGTACGGTAAAACTGGAATTTTATTATCATTATTATAAACCCCATTGATTCTAGATGTGGCAGGAGATCACTACATCTGTTCTTGAAGGGATAAAAAGACTAACTGTGGCCCTGTTGCTCCATTAATGTGACATTTAAGAGGTCAGGAAGAAACCAAAACTACATCTTGTGTCGCGATTGAAATTCATTTTTAATGCAACTCCATGAAGAAATCTTAACAGCCATCTTTCCCTCCTCAAGATGGTGCATTTCTGGTTTCTTTATTTACAACAGATCAATGTGTCTAGTGCCTTCAGAGAAATATAAACTACAATAGCTGAGATGTCATTCATGTATTTATATTAGAAAAGCAGGATGGAAACGTCAAAATCTAGTAAAACTTACTCAATTTCGGAAAACTACTTCTTGGTTTTTTGCCTTTAGTCGAAAAAGTTGATGCGCTAAATGAATTATGGAAACGCCTTTGACAAATACATTCTGAGGTAGCTAACATTTGACTCACATGACCGATCAGCTGTTTCTGTCTTCTCGGATGTCACCATAACGTTTGAATGCTCGTCTTCGAAACATGGCCAATACTGGCTGACATGACAGATCAATAGAAACTTGACCAATTTGGATTCCCGAAGACCTCTCTCTATGTCCCTCAGTCAGATGGTCAAGCCGACTGGTTTTGTCTCCGGTTCGTGACCTCTACTGCTTCTTCTGCTCTGGTTGCTGGCAGATTACAACCATGTGTAGCTTATAATGCTGACTTCTGACCAAACTGCTTTTCTGTTTTTCAAAAGTTCTCTTGAAATTCCTTCCAATGGAAACATCCCTAATCAATATAAAACATACAAGACAACATTATAACAACAAAATATCATTTTACACACAATACAATAATTCCGGATTCACCCATCAGTGGGTTTTCAGTACAAAATAGGACATTCCACTATTTAATAAACTGAACTCTACAGAAACAGCTTCACATTTAGTTCCTCAGCCTCCGATCAGTTTCTGTATATTCAGGGAAGTAAACCGTAAACTCTTATTGAATACCACTTTCATGAACGTCTCCTCTCCCTCAGGCCGGACCCACTCGATGACCAACGGCTGCCTCAAGTCCCCCATCTCCAACGGCAGCTTCACCTTCGACGGCCACGGCCACGTGCGCAGCGACGGCCAGGTGTACCACACCGTGCACAAGGACTCGGGCCTGTACAAGGACCTGCTCCACAAAATCCACCTGGGCCGCATGGACGACGGCGACCGCTCGGGCTCCAACGTGGGACAGCCGGACAACAACTACCGCCTGCTGCGGCGCAACAACAGTTACACCTGCTACACAGCGGCCATATGCGGCATGCCCGTGCAGCCGCTCATCCGCTCGGAGTCCCGCGACGACAGCGAGAAGCTGGTGGGGGAGGGGGGCAGCGGCAGGAGCAACAGCGTATCCTACTCCAAGAAGAGGGTGCGGTACGACAGCTACTCATCGTACTGCAACGCCGTGGCGGAGGCGGAGATCGAGGCAGAGGAGGGCGGGGTGGAGATGAAGCTGGCCACGGACCTGGAGGGGGTGGACGAGGACGGGAATCCGGTTCCCGTGCCTCTGGACGACTTGGCCGAGGAGGACCATGAGGAGAAGGACAAGCCCGAGGTCTTCCTGCTCTTCCACTTCCTGCAGATCCTCACCGCCTGCTTCGGCTCCTTCGCCCACGGAGGCAACGATGTCAGGTGCTGCCTCCTGCTGCTACCCGATCATGTATCTCATGAGCTTTTTGCCCTATAGGATCACATACAAGTAAAGTTTCTGTGCCAAACAAATACAGGAAATCGGCTTTGCCCATGTGATGTTCAGTCTAGCGTGAATATTAGAGGGGCTGCCTGAAGTCATACTCGATTTGCTCACCTCCGCAGCAACGCCATTGGGCCCCTGGTGGCGCTGTGGATGATCTACGACCAGGGTGGCGTAATGCAGGACGCCGCCACCCCCATCTGGCTGCTGTTTTACGGCGGCATCGGCATCTGCGCCGGTCTGTGGGTGTGGGGCCGCCGTGTCATCCAGACCATGGGGAAGGACCTGACTCCCATCACCCCCTCAAGGTGAGAACAGCACCACGTGGGAGAGCGGGTGGGTGGGGGCTGCGTGTCTGTGTTTATGGAGAATTATAAGAGTGAGAAAGAAAGAACTGGATAAGAGGGAGAGAGAGAGACGGACTTCCAATAAGCCTCGACATCCGGTGGAACGACGTCCTTGGTAAGTGTTTCTGTGCAGACACACACACAATGTCTTTTAATATTCTGTTAAATGTTATTGAACAACGGACTTTCATAAATCCATACTATGCTGGCATCAGAATGTACAAACCTGAGGCAGCATGATGACATTAAGCTGCAGTAAACCTGTCCGACTAATCAATGGTGATTGTTTTGAGCGTGCGCTGACTCAGATGCCGCTGCAGGCAAAACACCTTTTTACTACACAAGGAACCTGCAAGTACACGGTTATACTTTGGTTTTCTGTGTCGGCTGCGTCTGAAAAGGCCTCTCTGTGAATATTTTTTTTGTGATTACTAACAGTACAAAGGTGAAAGCATATTCTCCTTTTTCAAACATTCTTCTCCCCAGAGACGTATAAAATGTTTGATGATAAATATTATCATGATTACTGAACAACATAATTTTTATACTTTGTCCTACTCTAACTATCACGTTGCTAGAACTAATTATTTCCCTGTAGTAGCCCTTTGCAGAGAGAATGCAGTAGGACTGATACTCACTCTGTCTTCCAACCTTATTACATAACCGCTCTGAATAAATAAGTAGTCTTTCATCTATCCAGAGGGCACACTTCATCGCACAACCTAAGCAGCGGACATCACGCATCCGTAACCACTGCTGCCCCTGAGATCGATCTCTCTCCCTCCGTCTCTCTCCTGCTGTCCCCTCGTCCTCCCACGCATTAGCTGAAGCGTGTGTGTGTGTGTGCGTGCCTACCTCGAGGTGGTTTGTGTGTTTCGTGTCAGCTGAAGAAAGCGGGGCTCTCCGCCTGCAGGTCGCTGTGCGGTGAATGTACTGTATGTGCGCGTATGCATGCATATTAAGGTCTAATTGTTCCAAGTTTTCCGTGTGTATGTGTGTGTGTGTGTGTGTGTGTGTGTGCATGTGTGTGCGGGATTACCACACAGGGTAACAGGAAGTTGTTTGGCATTCTGGAACGAGGAGAAGTAGAGCAGGGAGGGTGAGGGAGGGCCTCTCTTCTCCAACCACGGGGGAGGGACGCCAGTCTGACTCCGTCTCTTGCCCCCCCCCCACCCCTTCTGTCCTCCTTTTTTTCCAAGTTCCTTCCTGCCCTCTCCTGTAAATCTCTTATTTTTTGCGGTTAACCCCTTCTTCTTCTTCTTCTTGCTTCTTCCTTTTCTTCCGTACTTCCCGTCTTTATGTCTTGCTTTTTATCGCCGTGCCACTTCTAAATCTTCCCGAGAGTCCCGCAGTCGTTCCCACTCTCATTATTTCTCCCTCTTTCTCCATTTCTCCTCCTCCTTGGCCCCTTCTCTCGCTATATGCACCTCTTTTTCTTTCTTTCCCTCTTTCCATCACCAGCGCAGTGTTTTGCCAGGACTCGAAAGACACATTTGCCCTGGTTCGCCGTTCTAAAGGCCCTCTTTTCCTCCGGTGTCTGTTTCCACGCATCAATCTGACAAAGAGGTTGGTTTGGGGCGAGGACAGGAAAGTGTGGGTGTAGTGGTGTGTCTGTAGTCGGGAGCTGAGCAGGGCCGGTGTAGCACTGCGACTCTTTTTCAGACTACAAATGTGGGTTTTCATCCTTCTGACCACCACAGGGACGGACTGCTGCAGATCTCTGTGATGAGCTCATGTTGTGTGACACACTTACATAATTGACCCGCTACACAAAGGTTTGTCGGTGGAGTGAGTGGCGTCTGTCCAAGTCTTCAGAAAGACTGTCTCCTGATGAGTCGGCCTTTTTCACAGATGACATTTTCGACTCGTCACAGTAAGACGAGCACAAGTGAGGGCCGAATTCCATCCACCTGCTTTCTTACCTCCTCGATGACACCTACGCAGTCTTTGTGCAACACTTCTTTTTGTCTTTCTTGTCAGCTTAGCTAGACAGCATTCAGAGGATGGTCAGTCTATCTGTGCAACCACATGCAACCATGCTCTGGGTTTCCGGATGGAAATGCTGTCTTTACTGTGTGCGTGTGTGTGTGTGTTTCAGAGAGTGATATGTGTATGATTACCATATGTTTTGTGTGTGTCGAGCCGACTTTTAAAGAGCTGTTCTCTAACTGTATTACTGTGAATGTGGGCCGTGCCATCAGCAGCACATCCCAGACATTACAATGAAGGATGTCTCTTTGTCCCCCCCCCCCCTCTCCTCTCCCCTCCCTCACTCCACAGTGGATTCACTATTGAACTGGCCTCTGCACTCACAGTGGTGTTTGCTTCCAATATCGGAATCCCTGTCAGTACCACGCACTGCAAGGTATGAGCGAGTGGCCCCCTCTAACCGGCCTCTCACCCCCTCCAACAGGCACTTTTCCAGGGGATAGGGAGCTCACACTGCCTCCCGGCGGCACCGGGTCTCCTTCTCCTGGCTACACCGATTTTAAAAAAACGAAACAAAAAAAACAAAAATCCGATTCTCTTCGCTGGATAAATTAAAAGACAAACGGTTGGAGCTGTTCCCCGACCCGCCGCAGCAGTGTGCAGCCCCTCTCCCCTGTTTCTTTCCAGGAAACCTCGGATCCAGGCCGGAAGACGTGGCGGACCTCCTCCGGGTCCCGACACACCCCCCCCCATCAACATGGTGTCTCATCCTCTGTTTCATTTCCACCAGCTCTCTTCCATGTTTTTATTTCCCTCTCAGCACTGGCATGGTTTGGTGTGTTGGGTCCTCACCTCCTGTGCTTGGCTACAGGACACCCTCCCCCGAACCTCCCCTCCCCCCCAAACCCCTCCTGCCGTACTTGTTTTCCACTCTTTTATTTACCTCTCTCCCTCTCCTCTCCACCTCTCTCTGTGTCTCTCCACTCATCTGTCTTCACAGCGGATTTTGCATTGAAGTAATGAGCGCATTATCAGTGCTTGTTGCGTCAAATGTGGGCATCCCAATAAGCTCCACCCACTGCAAGGTATTGGTGTCATTGTTTGTGAAGCCACTTCACCCGTAGCTCACAATCGCCAACGCCAATCACTCAACTCCCGAAAGTTGCTGTTTTGACTTCTCCTGCAGTTTCCCCCCCGGCAGCGAAAATAAATGTCATGAAATTCGAGCCTATTACATATTGAGCAGTATATCAGGTGTAGTATAGCTGTACTACTACTATAACTGTACTTTTGGAAAGTGTTGAGAATGTATCGTCCTCTACTCATTCACATTCATTCATCACATTTCTCTGTAGAATAATCCGCGCAAAAATGTTTTCTGAAAATGTCTTTGGCATTTAACGCACCATTCTATGCTGGGCTCTTTATTGGCTCTGAGCAGTTGCCAGGCAACCAGTGGAGACTCGAGGAAGTTACTGCTCCCAGCCAAGAAATAGTGCAGCACGTAACCTCCTGTAACATGAGGTAGCTGGTTGGCAGATTCGTTGGACTGAGCCAGGCGAACTGTTTCCTCGTGTTTACAGTCTTTATGCTAAGCTAACTCACTATATTAGGGGGGGGGGGGGTTTAGTGTAACACAGGCGACAAGTAAAAGCAAGGGACACGATTCTACTACGTGATCGCTGCATCTATGAAAACATGAAGGCAACACGAGACTTAAGAAACTATCGTGTTTATGGTTTAGGTCAATATTTCCAAAATGTCTGCTGAAGGGAAACTGCACAAGAATCAAAACTGGTATTAAATTACTGCTGATCAATTTGTCTAAACGTCAACACCATCATCCATACCTTATTTCCACCTCTCACCCTCCACATCCCTTCCCTAAAACCTTCCATAATCAACTGCCATGCCAAAATGCTAAATCTACTGATGGTTAGCAGTATATCTTATTGTGGTGGTGATTTGATTTTGTGGTTGTTTCGGGGGAGATGCGTTGTTGGACGAAGTCAGCATTTTAACGATATCAGCAAACTTGTGATAGTGTCTCAATTTATGTTACAGTGAGGAACTTTAAACTGGTAATTATCTTCATTTTATACTGATGTCTCTATATGAGGCACTTAAGTAAACGAGACCATCAGCGAGAAGCTTGGCTATTTCTTTATAGTTATTCCCTACGGTTGTCGTCGTTGCCTCCGGGTTGGATTCCGCGCAAAATCAGATGAAACCATGCAGGTTCACCAGAAAGTCCTTCAGCTCAGACTGCAGCAGGGCCTCCTGCAGAGACCAGCCCGCCACAGACAGACCCAGATTCGGCTTCACTGCATCCTTCGAACCAGGACTGCACGGAGCAGACCATCAGACCCCTGCTGCAGTAGAATTAGAGGTGTTCATAAGGGACTCTGGTGCTCTGAAACACTACCACTTTTGTCCACAGGGGCTGCTAAAATCAACACAGAAACGAGTACCTTGCAGTAACTTTTAAGTAAGAAAGTAGCCAACAACACCTGTAAACATCTCCCAGAGAGAAAGTGAGAGTGAACGAGCAGTGCCGGGCATCCGTTTCGTTTTTTGTCTCGGTTCAGAGTGAGCACTCTCTCTCTCACTTCATTTGGCTTCTTCACTGATGTGCAGATGAGACTGAATGGATGCCCGGCCCTGGTGGGAGCACGTGCAGCGACGTGTCGTTTCAGAAGCTCTACGGGCGGTCAGCAGCCTCGAGGTCACGCTGCTGACCGCCTGAAATACGATAAACATGTTGACCACAGAGTTTAGATATCACTCACACAGGCTTTTTCAAAGGCCACTTTCAGAATAAAGCTAAATATCTAAGACGAAGGAGAAAAAGTAGAGTAACTTTCTGCGACCTTTCCTTCCCTGGAGGTATTTCAGTGTGGTCTAGTCTGGCCCTTTAGAGTGAGATTGACCCCTGGACCACAAACACCACTGGACTCTGCTGGCCTTCCACATTTAGTCTCCAGCGGGACAGAAGGCGCCTCGTGTTTCTTTGGCCGTATAAGAGCAGGCCCAGTTTAACCCCCGCCCTACCTGCAGCCTCACAGTCACTGCACGTGGCCCCGCCGACGCACTGAAACATGTCCACGTGTCTCCTCCAACATGAATGCCACTGTTCTGATTCGATGACTTGAATAAAGGTGAGAGAAGAGTTCATGTGTGGACGTCTGACAGCAGCAATGAGTTCAAATAGCTGAGAAGAAAACCCATCCGATTTTTTGAAAGACCAGAACTGCTGATTTCAGACGTCCACACAGATTAAACTCAGGTCGTGGTGACTTTCTAAATCGGCTTGCTCTGACTAACATAGACGTTTTGGACCCAAACTGGTCGCGAAGAGCTGAAGGCCGGTCACAGGCTTTTAATATTAAATACCCTCAATGGCAAAGCCAGAGGCCACAAACATAATGGAGAGCTAGATGGACAAATAACGGCTAAACATACAGAATATGTAAGAAGTCGGCAAGAACACGGACACACAAGCTGACATCTGAAATGATCAGCATAAGAAAAGCCAGAACGACCTGCAGCTCTTCAATGTCTTTGACTTTGCCTTCTTAAAATGTTGTGTTCCGTGCTGCTGCTGATTGTTTTCTCTCTCCCCCCCTCGGCACCTCTAGGTGGGCTCGGTCGTAGCCGTGGGCTGGATCCGCTCCAAGAAAGCGGTGGACTGGCGCCTCTTCAGGAACATCTTCCTGGCGTGGTTCGTCACGGTGCCCGTGGCCGGCCTGTTCAGCGCCGCCGTCATGGCCCTGTTCGTCTACGGCATCCTGCCCTACGTCTGAGGGACGCTCGGCTGGGAGGGAGGACGGAGGAGGAAGAGCGAGTCAGAGAGAGAGAGAGAGATACTCGGGTTAAAAAACAAATCCTAGCTCGAGTGTCAGGGGTAGTACAAATGGTGGGAAGCGGGGGAAAGGGTGAGGGAGGAGAGTGAGCGGCAGAGGTTTGCAGACGGACTGGGTTGTACTGTGGAGGTGAGGAGGGTTGGTTCATGTGCTACCTGGCTCCGTAGTCCAGAGACCTCTTTTTGCCTCACTCGGGTTTCTGATCGGTTCGTATTTATTCTCTTCTTTCGGGCGCATAAGAAAGCGTGCAGCCGACGTGTTTCCACCCTACCGTTCAATCGGCTGTGCCAATAATGGGGAGATTTTCGGTAACTCTTTTCTGTCTCATCATTAAAAAACGAAAAAAACAAACACAAAATCACGAGTTTAAAAAACAAAAAAAGACTGCGCACCTAAACTGCAGTAAAACTATAATCATTCTACCAGCAATGCCAGGTAGCATAGTCGGTCAAGTGCTCATTATTATCGTTCCAAAATGCCAGAAAAAAACAAACCCTGTACATATTGTTGTATTGGATTGAGTGTGATTTGTTGTATTGCGGCTTGCTTTAAAGTAAAAAAAAAAAGAAAAAAGAAGAAGAAAAGATGTGCGTGTGGTAAACCGACCCATTCATCATCTCCCTTTGAACACACTAGGGCCAAATGGAAAGGACGCCTCAGAGAGAGGGCTGGTGGGACTGTCACTCTGCTACCTTTTTTCTTTTTCCACATGATACCACAGAAACCTGATTTGCTAAAAGAGTTGATTTTTTTTTTCTTTGTCAAGAGCTCCTGTATGTTTTTAGAGATGGATCTCATATTTTTTAATGATGTAATATACTGTAATTTGTACTGTAAATACTGTCCTAAAGAGTTTTGGGGACGGGGGTCACGGTTTGTTTTTAACGTAGTAAGGAAGGAAGGGGCTCTTCATGATGTCATATTATACAGTGTGTTTCATCCCAGAGTACACACACACACACACACACACACACACTGCCAGTTGGGCAGAAATGGTTTGCAGAAGTGTATTAATTAAATTTAAAAAAAGGTATTTCAATGAACCCATTCTCAGCAGGGAAAATGAAGATATTTCATTCCTTCTGATTTTATCGCAACAGTAAACTCAACAGTATTGTTGGAGAGTTCTTCAGTTCAATGTTTCCTTCTTGAGAAAACGTTCAGGTGCGTTTCAGATGGCCATATTCAAAATAGATTTTAAGCAGAACGAGGTTTAGGCGCCGCAGAGACAAAAAACACACCCGACAAGGTCCCGTAAAATGTTCACATATCTTCATCCGTTTGCCTTTTGTTTTCATATTTTAAAAAAAAGAAGCTACTGGAGTTTGTCATATCGAAGGCTGCCAGCCAACGACGAACCTCCACAACCGTCCACGTTCTGGTCTCGTCAGGTCTGCCGGGTCTACAAAGCCTCTGTAGCCCCGAGCCTCGGCGTTATCGTCATCAAACGCTTCATATCGTGTGTGTGTATAGAACTCAGCCAGTTAATGCAGAGGTGGACAGGAAGGGGATTCAAACCCCCGGCCCACACGCGTAGCTCCTCAAAATGGGCCGCTTGCTGTTGTTTTTGAAGTGTAGAAGCGATTTTAGTCTGCTGATCATGTGCGTTTCAGTCCAAGTGCTAAAGGTGAGCGAGATATCATGGGCTCAAAAAATCACAACTGCTCGTGTGTCAGAAATATCACAAGACATTTTTGTCTGAGGATCACTATTTTTGAATGAAGCGGGTATCGGGGGGGTTAGTACTGATCATCACCAGCTTTTTAACAAGGTCACCTGACCTGTAGAAGAACAAAGTCTAAAGCTTTTTTCTTTTTCTATTTGAACAAACTATGCCAGGTGTTGCAAGGTCTCTTTATTTCTTTAAATGTTTCTTGTGGCGTGTTTCCAACTTCATTTTATTTTTTTCTGTCTATCTCATGAACAAATCTATGCTTAAGTAGCCACTTGCCTTGTAACATTGTGTTTTACTTTGTGCAGATACGGTCAAATAATGAAGTACTGTGGTGTTTACATCGTTACCATATTGTAGAGTATCTGGAATAAATAAAAGCCGTTGCCTAATGATGCCAATGAAAGACGGAACTATTAACAATGAATTTCTTTTTTAAGCGCAAGTAAAAACATAAATAACTTGAAGTGTCTAGAGAGAGAGAGAGCGAGTGATGCCTCTTGTTTGTTGTAGTGGTTCTGATCCTGATCCCAGTCACTTTACACTGCTACTATATGTGTGGGTTCAGAATGAAAAGAGAAATCTCATCAAGACTATATATTTTTCTACCATATCTGAGTTTTAACCCGGGTGAGCTTCCGGAACACTGTGGTGCACAATATCGTGGGGGGGGGGGGAAACTGGAGAACAGGGACTGGATGGAGTGACGCTCTCATCACTGGAGCGTACTCTCAGTGTCGCTAGTGCCACGTGTCACGCTTCCTCCGAGCCCAGCACGTTCGTCTGACACGTAGATCGATGTGTCGGTTGCCAATAGGTCGGATTTTGAAATTCCCCTTTTTTATTTTCTGAATTTTTAGATGGAAAAACACTTTGTAATTTTGTTTCCCTACCGCTTTTGGTCGCAATTGTGAAGGCAAAGCCTCTGTAGAAGAGACTCTTAAATCTTCAACTGATAACTGGACTGTGAGGACATTTCTTTCCTTGTTGAGGCAGGAAACCACTCTTGAAGCTCATACCGTTTTCACTCTTCACACGTGTGTCTGTTACACGGGGGGAAGGGGGCTGCACGAAGCTGGTGGGTTCAAATTTGTACAGTTAAAAACTCGTTGAATGCTAACAAAATAACATTGATTCATGTTTAAAATAATAGCTGCGTTCTTTTTCTTTCTACTTTTAGTACGTAATGCTTCCCTTACAAAGTACCTACTGTTGCATGCAGTCGGGACGCACTACGACCTAATAACATGGCATCTTTAACTTTGACCCTTTTGCTCATGCGCATAGGATTGTGGGTCGTGAAAAGCCAGAAAAGTATGCATTCTGCAAAATGCCCCCGGATGCTGTAGGACATGCTGCTATTTATGGCAGACTGCATTCGACACTACTACTAAATCTTTTTTTTCTGGCATACAAAGTAGTGTAGTAGTAGTAGTGGTGGTAGTGGTAGTGTAGTAGTAGTAGTAGTGGTGGTAGTAGTAGTGTAGTAGTAGTAGTAGTGGTGGTATTGGAACGCACAGAATATGTTGCTGTCCAGGACAGTTGTAGAAACCTTTTTTTTTTTATCTCCCATACTTCAGCTGATGCAATATTGCCAGCATGCTTCAGAAATCTGGTTAGTGCTTCATCGCCATGCTGTTGCACCCCCCCCCTCCATTTGTAACTCACTCTGTCATTTATTTTTTGTGTGTGTATTTTCACGCATTCTCAGTCTTGATAGGCCAAAAGGGATGCACTGCTCAAGATGGGGAGGAAAAAGTGAAAATGGTCTTCTGGTGACAACTTCAAACATCCGATTGAAACGGCTCAAACTGTCACGTGTCAAATTTGAATGAAAGTAACTAATGCTACATGAAACAAAATGAAAGTAGCGTTGCTATTCGTATGTTAAAGCTCCTGAAAACTTGTTTTTTTTAATATTACGTGTTTCTTTATAGCATTAAATAATGATAATTCGATCGGTAGTTGTTAAACGCTGGAAAGTCAGCTGATCTGGTTTGACAAACAACCCAACGACTGATTCAAATGTCTCTGATTGGTGCACGAAAAACACCTTTTTCCCAACAGAGCCACGCCCACTTCAAACCAGTCTGGAGGGCGCAAAAAAACAATACATCCCTCATCCGAAATCTTTTCCGACTTTGATGAAAAATAATGTATTACAATGGTGGATACCATCGTTCATAGTAAGAAGCTAATTAATTAATACAAAGTTTTCAGGGCCTTTATATGAGTCAGACCCCATTGAGTCTAATTATCTTGTGAATTATGGATAAAATAGTTACGTCCTGAAAGTCAATAATTGCAATGGTTGCGCAGGTCAAATTTGCGATAATTGTTAAAAACAATTGGTTTGGTACGACTATGAAAGCAGCCGCTAGATGGCACGGTCCGACACTTTTTCCCCTCCCCGTTTTAGACCCGTCCGTGTCAGCTAATCGGTATCAGACCGACGCCGTTTAAAGGGGGGGTCGCTGCGCTTCTATTGCGTATAACGTTTTTTTGTGACCTCGTCGCAGAGAAACAGAAGGGGCCATTTCTTTCTCCCTGAATTGTGCAACACAAGCAGTTTCTTGGGAAGGTG